TTAATATTTATTTCAATTTCATTGACTGTTAATTAAAAATAATACCTACTTTTTTATTTATTTAAAAACAAAACTTAATTTTAAATAGAAAATAGTACAAATACTACAAATGCATGTGTTTATTTTTTAAACATTAGGTACAATTTACGATAAAATATTTTTCTTGGTGCCAAAGAAGGTACCTGCTGCTATATTGTTATTTAAAATAATCCGTGGTTTGGTACAAATGTATTTATTGTTTATAGTGAATATAGGTACCTAGTACTACCTACGTAGAATAAATTTATGGTAATCATGTAATGCGCTGCAGTGCTGCACGGTGTATGCAATTTCCATTAGCTATGACGCTATTAAAAGTCTATATACAAGAGTTAAAAATATAGCACGATGGAGTACCTAAAATCCGTTAAAACCGAGCGGACGCTTTCTATTACCGCACAAAATATATAAGCATGACCAATTCCGTACACAAAAATAAAAACATGTATTTAAAGCAATTCTGCAAATTGAAGTATAAAAATATTACATAGAAATATAGAATTGAATTACATTAAATTTCCATAAAATCAAAATACACAATCCAAATTAAAAAAAAGGGGGTAAGTGGCTGTCGCTCTGCTGTACAGCAGGTTACTAGTGGGTCTCTGTAATAGATGGTGTTTTAATTTTAATTCAATGATATAAAAACATTGTAAATATACGAAAAACGATTTTGAGCAAAGGCGGTCTGCCAGTCTATAATATTACTTAGTAATTTAGTATATTTGACGATATTATTGTGATTAAAGTAATTTATTTTACTATTAGGTATTTGTACGAAGGTATAGGTTAAAATCATTTTAGCCAAAAAAATTGCATGTTTTGAACAGTCATTATTGTGTGTATAAAGTATAACAGTATATACTAAAAAGTTTTAAGTACCTACGAATAATATTTTTAATTTACAACAAAATAAGATAAATCATTATTCTTGGTTATTTAATATGTAATTTCGTCCACTTTTGAAAAAAAACTGTACTTATAAATTTTTATGTTAGAAACCTACTGGTACTTTTGTGGAAATGTGTTTTAAATTTTCCACCCTTAGCTATAAAAGTTGAAAATTTTAAAAATATTTAACTCTAAAATTATTTGAACATTTTGAATGATATGAATTTGTCAAAATTTGAACTTTAAATACTCATTACAAAAATGTTTTAATATTTTTCTACTGATATTGTAAATATATAGCAGGAGCCTTGTATTACATTTTCAAGCTTTATGACCAAACAAATAAAATTTTATTGACAATTATAGAAAAAATAAATAAAAAAATTGAAAATTGAAAATGTCCTTAGCTGCTCAAACGAGTCAAGGATATGAATTGATAATATAAACATATGGTGTTAATTTCAAGTATCTGCAATCATTTGTTTTTTAATTGCAGCAAAATAAGGAAATCGCTGTATGAAATATGAAGTGAATATGTTGTAAAAATGTCAACTTCATACTCTCATATATATTTAATTTGACTTTACGGTAGAAATTTTTTTTTTTCTTTAGACAAACCGTTATAAGAAAACATGTATTGAATTTTTAAATTTTAGATATAAGAAGACAATTTTTTTATAAATTTCTAACTCACAAGTAATTTTCAAATGTTTGTGATTTTTTACGAATTCTGTCAAAAGCTCATAAAAAATTATTTTGGATTCACCCTTTTTTTTTTAATTTCCCCTAACAACAACTTACGAAGAACCGTGTACTATATTTTCAAGTTTTTTGACATTACGAACAATTTTGTATCAAACATGAGTTTAAAAAGTACAAATAATAATCTAAAATTTCATATGCCTATATAAATAGTTTAACATGAATCAAAATATCTTGAAAACTTTTTGATGTATTGGTAGAATACGCGGGATATAAACATTCAGTGAAAATTTCATGTATCTACTTACATCTAAAATCCAAATCGATTTTTTCGAAAACAAGGTTTTCGTAAAAATTCGCGTTTTTCCTGTCGCTTTTGAAAACTATTGGGAACTTTTACTTTGTAACCTCCAAAGTATCAACTAGATTCACTTTCCAGTTAGAAGAGATGCTGTTAAAGAAAATCGTAGCACCTTTACTGTCCCAAGACATGATGACTGACACAGAAAAATAAAAATAATAAAAATAAAAAAACACACATCATTGTACACCTATACCCTACGGCCTACAATACACCTTAAATCGCTCTGCTCGGACTCTAAAATCAAAAATGTGTGTGTTCATAGAAATAATCATAAATAGCTTCTTTGCCTCTAGCCATTTTGATACATTTTCGAATGTAAACATGAGCCAGTATATGAGGCCAACATATTTTTGTACACCGAAAAGCTCCATTCCAAGTTAACAAATACAACTGTTGGTGGGTATTTAAAAATAATATATTATACAATTAAACAATTTATCTGGTCAAAAATATATTTAGCCATTATTTTTCTATCTATAGCGAATTAGCAATGATCTAAAATAGTAAAATGTAGTTATGAACAATATTGAACACTTCAGTAATGTACCCATTTTGCCTATATAATTTGCCGGGAAACACATTTTGTTTGTGAAAAATTTAAAACAATTAATAATATTATATTACCTACTATGTATTAGTTTTACCCGGCGTTTCTTGAGAATAAAGGAAACCATGATGCGCAATCCCCCTTCGGCGTTTAGTAAAATGACCTGTGACCTCTTATCATTTTTTTTTTTTTTTGCTGTCATTTTTAAATGTTTTATTTAACTAACTGTTTTTTAGTATGAACTGCTATCTCTAAACCAATAATTTCTGATCATCTTTTTATTGCTTTTGAATTTAAATCTATTTAGTTTATCAAAATTGACTGCAGTCTTAGCTGAACTTTTTTTTAATATTTTTTTTTCCTCCTTTGAAGAGTGAATTATTATTTTACCATTATCACCCACAGAGTGAATTAATATGAAAAAAATATAATAATAAATTAACAATTTTTTCAATGTAATGACGTATATTTAAGTAATATGTAATTCACACCCTGGAGGAAAGACATAAATTTACGTCGTGCGTTCTTTAGTCCTAATAGTAATGACGTAAATATACGTCGTTACTATTTAATATACGGTTATAATTAAAATGCGTTTGTCTGTGGGCGCCCACGTTCCTCATTCCAATTTTTTTTTTCATTAGACGTAGGTACTTTCTCTAGGAGACCTCTGTGTAATCATTCTTTGATACGCTATATAATTATTGAGAATAGTTTTTTGGGTGGAAGAATCTGGAGATTATAGATTGCAGTCTCAGGCTCATAACTAAGTTATTTTACTTTTATTATTTTAGATTCTGAGCGGAGCGACAAATATATTGATTTTACATTTTTACAATGATAACGTGTGGTTTTTTTCTTTTTTGTGTCTGTACTCTGTGTACAGGCAAGTAGTCGAAATAATACTTCGAATTTCAACTTGAGGATCTTTTCAGTAGAGAAAATGAAGCTAGTTGGTGCATTCGGGAGGTCAAAATCCTTAGTAGTTTTCAAAAGCGTCAGGAAAAAACAAAAGGAAATTAAGGAAAAACGGGAATTTTTTTGCTAAGTCGGATTTTGAAAAAAAAATTTTGGTTTTTTGTGTAATTCGAAAAATCCGAAAATTGCACGTGTAGATACATGACATAATTTCACTGAATGTTTATAGTAGCAGTTTCTATACGCCATCAAATTTTCAAAATATTTTGACTCACCTTGAGCTATTTATAGGCACATTAATTTTTCCATTAGTATTATATATAAATGTTACAATAGCAGTTTAAAAATATTAAAAATAGTTACACAGACAAGATTTTTTTATAAGTACCTACTTTTTTATGTGATTAAAGTCAACATGTCGTGAGGTTTTGTTGAAAGAACATTTTCTGTTAGCTTGATAATAATTTATTTTAATTTAATTTAATTTAATTTAGCTTAAGAAATAACGACACCACTTACGCTTCAAACATCTCGGAGGATTTCCAGGTATTGTAGGAGTGGTGAAGTTTTGTATTAGTTTAGATGATTATTTAAACAGAAATGGAATCTTTTTAAAAAAATGTAGCTTCAACATTTATTGTTTTAAGTTTTAAGTCAGAGTGTACCTAGTGTATGATTTAACTCGTAGGTGGAGCATTTATTAGTTTTCTAGAAAAAATATTTTTAAATGCTTGGATTTTAAAAATATTTATCTTTTTCGCGTTACCCCCAAAACTGAAGGCCGTAGGTCCCATGGTGGTTCCAATAGGGTTTTGTAAATAAGCAGTTTAGTTCTTATAGAGGTATAATTATTATTATAGAGGTATAATTATTATTGCAAAATAAGGGTTTAAGCAAGCGAAGACGATAATTCAATGCTATTATTTTAGTCCTGATGTGATGAGCCCACGTTAATCTTTTATCTAGAGTAAGGTATTACTATTTACCAGTAAAGTATTTGATTTGAATAAGTACCTATTTAAAGTTTAAATATTGATAACGTTTATCAAATATAAAATTTACAAATTATTTTGTACTTTTGTAGTTGAAAATTAATAAAATGTTCAACTTTTATAGGTAAGGGTTGAGGATTTAAAACAATGTTCCAAGTAGGTAGTTAATTCTGGAACCAATGCATGATGCAATTTCTTTTGGCGTCGATAACCCACGATCACGGATTAATTGATAACCAATATCATTAAAAGGATTTTTTGTATCACCATTGATAATACATACATATTGTATTATCTATACGTATCACAGAAATACCATTACATTCGATTGAATTCCGGGTGAAAGTTTTTCGGCTTCGGTATTCACATAGCACCTATTTTGTTGTCCTCGATCGCACGAATCGATGCAAAAACCATAGATAAAAGATTCAAGATTAAAAAACACCGGACGTTTGAATCTGTCGTTTGCTATTCTGCGTTCATTTGTACACGTGGCTTTATTGCTTTATTTAATTTAGGTCGCTTTTATATTGTTTCATAAGTTAAAATGTCTTCAGTTATCGAAAAGAAAAATTTAATTTTACGGAACCTTCAAGAGGTTCTTGGCGAAGATAAACTCGATATCATACTAAAGGAAAGAGATTTAAAAATTTATTGGGGTACTGCCACAACTGGACGTCCACACATTGCATATTTTGTTCCAATATCAAAAATAGCGGACTACTTAAAAGCTGGCTGTGAGGCACGTATAAGATAAATTGACTAACCATTATTTTGATATTTTAAAGATTTGTACGTTGTTTTTGTTATGGCCACTAGTGCCAAAGAGACAATTCACATGGGCAATAAACAGTTAAATATTATTAAAAATGAATGATAAATTATTTAGTAATAATTATAATAATAATTTTAAAAACAAAAACAAAGTACCAAATAGTTTACGAACATAATACATTCTTCCTCTCCTTCTAGTGGGGGTATTGGCTTTTAAGACCAGCCATCTCTATCTATTAACAACTCCAACTTCTGCTCAGTACTACTGCTACACCCATTTTTATTCTATTCATTAATATTTAATATAAATCAGAGATTCAATTGCAGTTAGGTATGTTAATTAGTTGAGTCACATAATTATAAATTTATTAATTTTAATGTTAGGCTGAGATTTAAATCTTAAGTCACAGTTATGAATATTCTGAAAAGTTAACAAATAGCTACTAGTATCTCACAAATGAACTAGTTAGATTATCAGATTATTTATTGACAACTTTAAATAAGTTAAAATTTAACAGTCGGTGTAGTATTGGGCATGCATTTCATCTTGTTTAACCTAGGACCCTGATTTCAGGATAACAATTAACAATTTATGGCAAAACTAGTATAATATTTTATCTTTAGAGTTCACACCAAAGGCCCATGGATCAGTTTTTTAATGGGCTCCATAATGAAATTCTCAGGACCGCCCCGGCTCATATAAAGAAAAATTACGTGGGTTTTAATATTTCCATAAACACTTTACAAGGTCACTACATCCGAAATAGACCAGGAATACATTAAGCAAGTAAAAATTTATGAGACCCTAAAAAAATTGACCGACTAACACTGTTTGAGTTAATGAGTAACTTTCATTTTATTTTAAGTAAAATTTTAAATAGTAGTGGTTTTAATATTTACAAAGAAAATCAACCTACAAATATACCAAAAATATTTTTTATTTTGTGCTATTAAAATGAACTATATTATCAAGCATTCATTATACAGTATTTGACGATAATTTAAATTAATGTATCTAATTTTGATATTATGTTGATTTAGGTAACAATTTTATTTGCTGATTTACATGCATATTTGGATAATATGAAGGCTCCTTGGGAACTATTAGAACTCAGAGTACAGTATTACGAGCACTCAATTAAAGCTATGCTAAGTTCAATCGGTGTACCACTTGAAAAATTAAAATTTGTACGAGGAACAGAATATCAACTTTCAAAGTAATTAAAATCTTCTAAGCAACTAGTATGTTACTCAGAGCTTGGTTTTTTTTTTTTAGAGAGTATACAATGGATGTATACCGATTGAGTTCTTCAATTACCGAACATGATGCCAAGAAAGCTGGGGCTGAAGTTGTAAAACAAGTTGATAATCCATTACTATCTGGGTTGCTATATCCTGGTTTGTTATGAATATATTTTGCTAAAGTTTACATAAAGATAATAAAGAATTTGATGTATTAGACATGGGTTCATCACTAATTGTTTTAGATTCAAAATTATAAGTTAAAAGATATAATGTAATATAATTTAGTAGTAATAAAGTCTAGTGTTATCACAATATTCTATTAAAAAAAATTTATTTTTGCTAAATCATATATTAAATCAAGAGAATGAATTTAAAAGTTCAATGAATTTATCTGAACTAATTATTATATTCAATATTTTTTAAAGAAAATGTTATAGCATCATGTTGGTAGAATATTATATTATATTTTTGTTACATTTTTTCAATATTGGCTACTAAAATAGGTATTAGATGTAACAAAATATAGTTTGACGCATGAAGTTGTTATTTTTGTTTTTTAAATAATTATTCTTTTAAGGATTACAAGCATTGGATGAAGAGTATCTAAAAGTTGATGCTCAGTTTGGTGGAGTAGACCAGCGTAAGATATTTACCATGTCTGAAAAATATCTTCCTCAGTTGGGTTATGCAAAAAGAATACATTTAATGAATCCAATGGGTTAGTTTTGTTAATCTATATATGATCATTAATCATAATTTTGGTGTCTAGGTATAACTTAATTACTTATATATTGTTTTATGTTTAGTTCCTGGACTAGCTGGAGGTAAAATGTCCTCCTCTGAAGTGGATAGTAAAATCGATTTATTGGATTCACCAGCTATGGTAAAGAAAAAATTGAAAAAAGCATTCTGTGAACCCGGAAATATTGCGGAAAATGGTCTACTTGCATTTGCTAAACATGTCATTTTTGGTTTATTTGAACCTAATGAAAGTATGTTATTTACTATTTTTATCTTATTAATATATATAGAGACAGAAATGTAATTTTAACTTTTACTTTAAGAATTTAAAATATCAAGAAACGAAGCTAATGGAGGAGATTTGAATTTTAGCACCTACGAAGATCTTGAAATTTGTTTTTCCGAACAAAAGCTGCATCCAGCTGATTTAAAAGCATCTGTTGAATTTTATATCAATAGACTGTTAGATCCAATAAGACAAATTTTTGATAAACCCGAATTACAGAAACTAGTTGCCAATGCATACCCAGCCCCAGTCAAACCAAAAAAAACTGGTATGTTTTAAATTTAGTATCTAGTCTTAAATAATTTAAACCAAATTTGTTGAATATTCTATTTCATCAATCATTATTTATAAAAAAAATTCTTCAAACTATTGTTTGAGTACAAATATCAATTTAGACTCACTAATATTACCATATTAGTTTTTTTATATCGTATCTTACTATTAATTTGTTATATATTTATTTTAATAAAATAACTAATAAGTAATTTTGGGTTGTGAGCTAGGTGTTCAAGGTTATTGGTTTTACAATGTTGTAAATTATTAACTGTAATAACTAATAAATTATAAAATATCCTTAAAAACATATAGACAGACAGTATTGTTTTTTGTATGCCTTTATTTGTTAGAATTCAAATTGTATACATATACACTTACAGTGACCTAATCAATGATGAGGCACACTTAAAACCTACTATTCAGCTGAGTAATTTTTCAGGGTTTTTAATTCAATAATAATGATTTTAAATTTTCTTCAAAATATAAACATATTTATTGATTTTATCTAATTGATAATTTAAAAATACAATTGATGTTACATTTAATAATTTTTTCGGTATTTGCTTAATGCTAATAGTTATGTCCTCTAATATTTTTCTTAAATTATGATACAATAGAGAAAAATAATACCAATCAACAAGAGGAAATTTCCCCTTATCGTTTGGACATCCGTGTTGGTAAAATTGTTGAAGTATCTAAACATCCAGAAGCGGACGCATTGTATGTTGAAAAGATTGATCTTGGTATGTATCTTAGTGTTTATTTAGAGCTATTATTGTATAAGATATTAAAAGATACTTATTAAAACTCAGTATACATATATCTGTTGATTAGCAGCTTCATTATATATTTTAATTATTACATAAAATAAAGTGAATCCCATTTGAGACGCTGTTGGTTTATGAAAAATTTCTCGTGCCTAATACATTTTTTCAACTAGTCCCTTGGAGGTTGCCTTAGTTGGTTTTAAGTGTTTTAACTGTATCTTAACCTTGAAAACTAGACAATATAAATTAATTTCACTAACAGTCATACACTTGTCTTTAATAATTTGTTAGTAGTTTTTAATTTAATATTATTTTTCTTTGCTTATTAATTACCTAATATTAAATGTTTTTTTATTTGTTAATATTTTTACAGGTGAAGAGCAGCCTAGAACAATAGTTAGTGGTCTTGTAAATTACGTACCAATTAATGAAATGCAAGATAGGTTAGTGGTTGTATTATGTAATTTAAAACCTGCCAAAATGAGAGGAATTGAATCGAGTGGAATGGTTCTTTGTGCATCAACGTATGATTAAATATTTATTTTAAATTTATTTTACTAAAATAATTTTTGTAAATGTTATGATTTTTAATATTTATTAGTGAAAACAATGGAGTTAAGTCTGTTGAGCCTTTAGAACCAGCTGAAGGAAGTAAACCAGGCGATAAAGTTTTTATTGAAAGTTATGAACAAGGCGAACCAGACAAAATTTTGAATCCCAAAAAGAAAATTTGGGAACAACTCCAGGTAAAATATTATCCACATTGAAATTTTTTTTTTAAATTTTAAATTAAACTTTTTTATAGGTTGACTTAAAAGTTTCAAATTTGTGTGAGGCTCAATGGCAATCCAACAACTTGATGACAAATGCTGGAAAAATTCTTTGCAAATCACTAAAAAATGTTAAAATTGCTTAATTTTTTTAAGTTGTAATAATAACAATTAAATAAATAAAACTTATTTTTTATGTTTATTTATACCTGTATTTACATTCTAAAATAATTTAATAATACAATTCAAAATTTCTTTCAAGTGCATAAATTAATTAACAACTTGAATGAGTCACTACACTCATAAAGTTTGATACATTTGAGTTTTCCTCTTCATCAGAAATATCACTTAAAACTCTTTCGTTGTCTACAAAAGTAGAATTAAAAAGTTTTTTTGAATGATGGGTTTGTTTTTTAATTGTTTCAAATAGCTGTTGAAGTTCTGTCTTAGCTAGTTTTATGGCTGATGCTTCTCTGTTATATTCAATATATTTTGAGCCAATATCATGTTCTACATAATTTTTATGACCTTCACAATCCTTAGGAAAATCTTTTATTAAGTTGTCTTCTGATTTCAATGATGTCATTGACACAGATTTAATATCATTATTTTCTAACCCAGTTAACACAATTTGCTTCATTTGTCTGGAAAAAATATAAATTATAAATATATACAAACTCAAAGTTTTTGTTTAGTAATTTTGGATATAATACAACACATAGTTTATTAATATTATTCTAGAAATCAGCTGAAGCTAATAATAACTCAAATAAATTAACTATTACCTAGAGATTTTAAACAAAAAAAAACACAGTTTTTTTTTTTATTTAAGCTTCGACAACAGGCCATTAGCTGTAGGTTGTGGTACTGTAGGGTTTTGGAACTGTAGGGTTACGAAACACATGTGTGTTTGTTTGGCAGAATTTCTAGTTGGCACCCGTAGGTTTCTGCCATGCCTGGTTGGAGGGTGGCGGCCTCTCTCTCCGGACACCGTGACTGCCCGGAGAGAAGTACCGCCCGTGACCGAGGTTGCAACCGACGCGTTATCCACTCGGCCACTCCGTCTCACACAATTTATTTTATTTCTAAATGCACGTGTTTTTTTATATATTTGTATTAATAGTGGTAAAAATGATTTGGCCACGAAAAACACTGAAGCATTCTTGATTAGGTAGATAGAAAGGCAAAATACACGTTCTAGATATAAAATAAAACATGCTATCATACGCCACAAACAAAATCAAAACATGATATATATAGAAGAAAAATCAAGACAGTAGTTACACATGGTTTATTATTTATTTGCAAATTAGAAAGACAACTTTACTGTGGTATGGATTATGGACCATGTTTGTTCTGCACTTAATATTTTAAAATATAGGTGAATTAAGTAGCTTATAAAAACCATGTTTTTAATTTAAAATCTGTATGATGAATATAAATAATATAATAGCATGATATTATTTAATAAATGCAGGCCCGGATAAAGCTGGCGAGTTACCGAGCTCAACTTGGTGGGCCAGCTTAGTAGTATGTTGATTATTTATCTATGTCAACTGCTTAATATAATATGTATAATTTATATTGTATGATATATGATTGAATTATTAAAATATGGATAGCTATTAATGACTATCTTATTGAAAAATGGGCCGTTAACTCTACTGTTAAAATCGTAAATCTCGGTGAGCCGATACCTTGCTTACCCAGCGCTAAATAAATGAAAAAACTAATCAACCAAAAAGCATTACTTTATATCTGATCTGAGCTTGGAGACTTCATTATCTTTCAGACAACTGTTAATAGCTAATTTATCCAAATCTGATTTTGTGATTTTGTTGAATTCATTATTTTCTTTTAGTAATGTTTTGAAAGTATTATGATGTTCAGTTCGAATATTTCCATTCACATACTCCTTAACCTAAATAATAATATAAAGTATAAAAATTCATCTTATGAAGAAAAAAAAATTTACCCCAACTTTGTTTTTATTTGGTACATTTTTCAATCTTTTATTTAAATTTGTAATGATGACCTCTTGATTTCTAATCAATTTATCGGAAGCCATAAGTTTGGATTTAAGTTCTGTGATTGTATCTAAATATTCACGTTCACGGTTATTCAACTTTTCCAATGAATCGCATGATTCTTTATACTTCCTAATCAAATATTTAAATTTAAATTTTAAAAAAACATAACAATTTTTTTTTTATTTACTCAAGTAATCTATCCCTTTCAGAAGTCACACACTGCAGTTTTTCTTTAGATTTAGTGTTATCTTTTGTCAATTGACTATAATGATTTTCAAGTTCTGATATTTTTCCTAGCAGTACAGACAAATATTTCTAGAATATAAAATATTGTAAAAATAAAATATTAATGATTTTTCATTAAAAAATAATAAATAAATTTTTATTTACATTTTCTTGAGAAATGTTATCATATTTTAAATCTTTACAATAATCATCATCTCTTGTTGGTATCATAGAATTGTAATTCATAACTGGTACATTATTTACTTTAGGTGAATTTTCAGCACATTCATCAACAATTCTTCCCACGACCACTTGCATTTCATCAACAATTTTTGCAATATCTCCATCTAACAAACACTCATTTAATAAATATACAAATATATAAAAAATTTAAAAATTATTTTCTTACTTTTAACACCCGGGAACTCCATAATTTCCTTTAGTAGAAATTGTAATGTTCTGATTGGATTGAATACAGAAAGTGAGTTAGAACTTTTGCATTCTTTATCAATAGGTGAATCGCTACACTGTACACTCTTGGTCATTGCTAGAAATAAAAACTAATTAACTATAAATTTTCATAAAAAAAAAATTTTCATACTTTTACTATTCGTCTCAGGAATAGAGGAATATTTTTTAGGTTTAATTTTGGAAGCTATAACTGTATTAGTACCAACGTTTTTTTTATTTAATAGGTTACCCCAGGTACTCTGTTTTTCTGGTAAGGACGTTTTATATTTTGGTTTTGATAAAGAAATCATAACATTTTTCTGTCTACATGCCTTAGATGATTCCATAATATTATGTTGATCCTGAAAAAAAAACTTAACTCATTAACTGTAACTGTTAAACTATTTTAACTAAAGCATATTTCATTGTTCATTTTCTATAAAATATAAGAAAATATTAGTTATTTTATTTTTTTTAATCAAAGTGTATTGTTTGAGAGGATAATTAATGTTTAATTATTAGCCTTGTATTGTATTTTATTTAAGCCGAGGCACTGATGTATGTTAATTATTTTATTTTTATTTTTTTTATAATATTTATACAATCTATACTTCTTAGCATAATAAGTATAAGTGAAAAAAGACAGGAAACATGGTATGCGTGATTAAGAAGTCACACACTAGAAACTCTTTGCGTGATGGATATTAATTATTAAAACAGATTTGCGATCTGCAAAAGTTATGTATAATTAATGACCAATTGCAACTAATACAACTAGCACCAACAAACAATCACTAAATAAGAAATAAGAAAAAAACTGTTGTAAACTATTAACTTGCTTTAACAAATACAGTAAGTAGATAATGATAAAGGAACAACCATTGAAACTACCATCAAAATTAAAGTGTACGGATGAAATTGAGAAGTAATAACAATAAGAATAATTAATTATTAATAAACCATATAAAAATCAAACCAATCAATTTAAAAACATTGAGTTATTTAGCTTTATGTTTAATAGGTATAAGTATGTAATTTATTTGGATTTTAATTATTTTATTTATTTTTATCATTGAACTGATACTTGTTATTTAAAAAAAATGTATAATATAAGATAATATATACTTACTTCAAAGTTTTATGTATAAGTCCTACAAATTAAATGATTAATACTCTTAGATTCCAAGAATAAATTAGTAAAAACACAGCAAAAAATTAAAATAATTAGGTACAAATAAAGAAAGTTAGGAAACTTATTTTAATTTTTGATTACTTAGCTAAATTTGAGTTAGAGTTTAACAATTAATATTTTTAAGTCTGAACACTGTAGTCTGCTGTCTGTATACTGGTTATATAAGTATGTATGAAGATTATAAAACACTAGAACATGGGTCGTAGGGTAATGGAGTACCGTCAAAAAAATAAGCATTTGAAAAAACCGTCGTCCACTCCCCCGTGATCCGTTATCAAATTGTCCTGCCATTGGAACAAAATGTATTTTGGAAAATATATAACATTTAGATAGTTGGAACAAAGATATTTTGGAACTAAATGATATCAACTGTGTTTAGACCATGGCTATAGATTTTAGTGTCACTATTAAATCTTCGATGGGCAACCATAGTATCTATAGCATACAAGTTGTTGTACATATCTATGGCTTAAACCACGAGTCCACGATGCTTAGATCACACAGATATTAATATTATATAGAATATTTTTCTATCCATATTATATTCTATATTTCTATGGCATGAACTTAGTTCATGATTAAAATTGAATTGAATTTGTCATAGAGGCGTGGAGCACTAGAGCAACATTAATCATTTCCTTTGTCCAACCATAGACCTATGATACGTCTTTATGTGTCCAACACTCCAACGCAGATTTTTTTAAAATAATATTGGTAATATACTATAGTCTATAGTATAGTGTTTTTTAGGGTTTAAGGCAATTTTGTATTAAATGACAATTTTTGACATAGTATACAATATTTATTTTATTTCTAATAATATAATATAATACGTAAAATAAATTATTTATATTTAGTACATCCCAAGAACAATGCTGCTGGGGATTTATTTTCCGCAATTCATTTCTATACCATTTAAATTAAAAGCATAAAAAGTTTTTTTCTACATTTTTGAATTTAGATATTTATTTTTGCCCGTGGGTATTTTCATACCCTTTGATATTTTGATCAGGAATCATCAATCTATTACCGACACCCACACGCAATTGTCTACTAAAATGAATATTTAAAATGTATAAGTTACTAGCTCTATGGATTGTGTATTGTTGTAATATGGGTCCCTAACTTGCTTCTGTTATTTGTATTATTTTGTATTTCGCATAGGTAATTATTTTTCATACATTTTAAAATCTTGTGCAAAGTACGTTTACACTTTACAATAAGACTTTCAGTCATTGAAATTAATTTCCCGTAGGTACCTCAGTAAAAACGATTTTAAACCAGTTCATATGTTTTGTACTATGATATAATATAGTGACCTCCGTCACTATTCAAGTTCCAAGTCCAATTAAAATGTGTAATAGTCGGAAGTCCTTCAATATTTACATTAATTTAATATTGATTACCTAATGGTTATTAACTATACAACAGTTTGAAATGATTCATATAAGATTTTTACTTAATGAATATTAGTTATTGTATACGTTTAATTTCACCGTGAAGTAAAATAAATAATAATATTAAATTTTGTTTTATAATATATAAAATACAATTATGGTTTTAACAGTTTCTTTAGTGCACATATTCCAGCAACCATTTCAAACAATTAAAACTTACTACAGTCAAATCAGACAAAAAGACGATGTTGTTAAAATTTCAGAATTAATTGATGCGCACATCGGTAATAAGTAAGGCAGAGAAGTTGTAGGACTTGCATATTATTTTTTCTATCAAACTAAGACACAAATTTCGTGTTTGGACTAATATACATAACCTTCAAACATTTTTTTCATCTATTATGTTTGCATATTCTGATAATTTTCTGGTTAAAGATGATATTTTGTTGTCTTGAGTATATTTTACTCATTGTTTAGTAGGTATCGTCTAATATCAAGTCAGTCCCTATAAAGTTTTTTTTTTCGAGTATAAGAAATATGTACATAAGTGTGGCTACCTCGAATTAAGATATAATTATAAATATAAATGTGTAATATGTAGATCTGACTACGAATGTTGACTATAGCCTATATTAATTAGAAATTAGAATAGCCTCATGACGAAATAAATTTCTTTCCAATATTATTCGTCATAAATCATAGCTTCATGAGGTACCTAAAGGTACCTTATCAGTACTCGCATTGTCCAATTAATCATTCTGTGCATAGTTTTATTATTGTTTTTATTAAACACAGCTATCAAGATATATACAGCGTGATCCACCAAACATGCTCGCCCCCATTTTCTTTTAATAATTTATTTATTCAAATTTTGATTTTTTGAAATTTCTAAGCGTGCTTGGTGGATTTTAGGGAAAAAGCATCAGATAAAAATCCAACTCATTGGTCAATAAAAATTAATGAGTGGGAAGAGGTGGGCGTCCTATACAGATTATAAATATATAAGAAGTACTTATCAGGTCCTTTATACAACTTTACATTTTAATTTTTCTTATATATGTATAATCATACCTACCTACTTTGTATCTTTCTGGGAGTACCCTGCTAAATGCTAAATATTTGTATTAACTCGGAAAGCACATTTTTTAGGAATTAGGTACTTTAAAATTTGTCTATTAAATTTTTTTTTTTTATTTTTTTTTTATTTGCGTTACACAATCTATACAGTTTTGAGTACAATAAGCGTAAAAGATAATATAGAAAAACAGACATTGACAATTTGATTTGTAGAAGCCGCCCATTGACGACACTCCTTAGGGCATAATATTATACAAGTATGAGATTAATTAAAGAGAAGGTTGCGGCACCATTTTCTCTTCAGTCTTTTGGGAGGGTTTCCAGGGATAGGTAAAGTCAAATCTTTTGCGAGGTTGCTCGGATGATTCTTTAAAGAGTTGTGATATCGAGTGTAGTAGTTTGTAGCAGTTAGTGCGATTGTTTTCATTTTTAGGTCGAAGTGTAATGTTTGATTTTTGTTACGTAGAATGGAGCATTAGTGATTAGGTGTAAGATTTTATTTTGGGATATTTGCATTTTATTCAAGTTTGACTTTTTGGCGCACCCCCAAATCTGAATACCATAAGTCCATATTGGTTTTAGGAGGAGCTTGTAGAGATTATTTAGTTTTGTGTGAAGAGTAAGTTTCGACTTTGAATGTCTAAGTAAGCGTAGACGGGTGTTTATTTTGAGTTTTGTTCGGTGGATATGGTGTGCCCAGTTCAGTTTTTTATCAAACTGTACTCCAATGTATTTTGTTGTATTCGAGGTCGGTATTATAATATTATTTAATGTTATCTATAGGGGCAGATTCCGTGTTTGAGTGTAAAGGTAATATGCCTTGATTTCGTTTCGTTAATTTTAACTTTCCAGTTTTTATACCAAGATTCTAGTTCATGAAGGTGGGATTGAAGATTTTCGGAAGCCGTGAGAGGATTTTCGTGGACGGAGAGAATGGCTTTGTCGTCAGCGTATTCAGCTACTAAGGTGTTTGCCGTTTGGTGAGGTCAGTTGGTCAGCGATGAATATATTAAAAAGAAGAGGGGCAACTATCGCTCCTTGTGGGACTTCAGCGTTTATTGTGGATAAGGATGATAAACTTGTGCGGTATCGAACAAGCGAGTTGACGTTAAGTGAGGTAAGATTGGAAAATTAGGTAAAACGAAGGTGGTAGGATCTTTTTAAGTTTATTGAGGAGGCCAGCATGCCACACCGTCTATTAAATTAGAATTAATTTAGGTAATGAATAACCTATTTTAACATATGTATGTAATTTGTGCAGTTTCCTATAGTTTGGTTAGGTAGGTAGGTACCTAATATTTTATTCGAGTTTTCAAATTGATCTTAATCCTAAAATGTTTGATAAAATAAATTTATTACACACATAATACCTACCATATGAGTTCATGAAAAAGTAATTTGTCTGCAATTACCTTTCCAAGGCAGTTCAAAATTTCTTTTATGACATCAATACATCATGATTCGTGACAGTGTCTCAAATATGGGGGTGCTTATAAGCACTGCCGTGTTCCATATCGTTGTAATTTCAAATATATATAGTTTCAACAATGTAATTTTATTTTTAAGAATAAATTCATTATTATATTTTTTATTATTATTTTGCATTCCGATAATATTGTTTTTGTATTATAATCTTAAATTACAAAATATAAATTTATAATTTTAGTAATTGTGTTAAGAGATTTATTGGACTTAGGAGTTATAGACATATTCAGTACAATACTGCAATCCAAAACGACCACAGTAGGGAAGGTTAAGGCTAACATTGTTATGAATAGTATCGTTAAATCATTTCCAAATACGAAAACAGATAAAGCATTTTCAGAATATTATGGTTAATTATCATACAATTTTGTGTTTAAACAAAAAAGAAATCAACTAAATATTTTAATAAATTTCCATTCGGAGACTATTGCCAGACTTAGCTAATGACATCGTCACCGACGAATATTGAACACATTGAATTTCAATATAATAAAATACTATGTAAAAAGAAATTAAAAATGTGTTTAATTTTTTCTAAACAATGGTTTTGCGAATAATAGTATAATCTAAATATTGATGATATGCAATGTTGGTGGGTATGTGGTCCGATGTGGGGGGTTGAACCTTCCACGGCTATATTGTAAGCGATTCATAGTTGTAGCAATTGTAGCACCCCTAAAATTTGAACTCTAGGTCTCTAGATGAGCCACTGATTCGTGAAGAAGTATTTTCAAATGATGCAGCAATACCTACGGCCTATAATCCTTATTAGGTATATCACGAAGAAACCTTAACCGGTAGCTCGTAGGCATACAAATATTAAAGCACTGCCAGAATAGTGTACATACCTAACATTTGTTTTTAGAATTACACTATTACCTATACAAATAATACAATATACCTATTATATACCTACATAAACTCGGATAAACTATCATAAGCAAGATACGGTATCAATAGTAGAAATTAAATTATCACCTTCTATTAAGATTTTTGAAAAAGTTTTAGTCAGTTATTTAAAAAAAAATGTAGGTAAGTCATATTAAAACCCAAATAGTTTGGTTACAATTCGAATTTTTTTAAAGTAAGTGAGATAGTATATAAAAAAAACTTGAATCAAAATGATGGACATGTGTTCAAAACATGTTTGTGTTACTTATTTAATATTTATGGATTTAACGTTGAACACACTATATCTATATGCCTAGGTATATGTATTTTTTTTTAAATAGGTACCTCACTGCGCTTTGATCCTTCTGAGTAAATTAATACACATTTTGTCAATTCTTATAACTTCTCTACCATAGTATAGTGACATTTATGATTTGATTAATTACAAGAATAATATTATTTATTCATAAGTTCATTACTTATTCAATATAAATTCCTTTTATAACAAGCAAACAAAGTTGAAGTTAACTTTTTTTAGATGAACATGGATTTGAATATACTAAACATAGGCTAGTATGTCATAATATTATTCCTCAAGTGTTAAGGCGCGATCAAATACTGCACATTCCAGAAATAGTTATTGAAGAAGAATGTTGGTATGATGAAAAAGGTCAAAAATTTTGGGCAAGGACGAGAAATTTGAGTTGGTCCGAAATAGCCACGTTATCTAATATAATAACATTATCAATAACACCAGACCCAACATGGTAAATACAATTATGTAGTAACTATTTTAAGTGATATAATCCCTATAAATTATATTTTATGATCTACAATAGTGTTGGAGAATGCGTCACAAAAATTAAAACTTTTACACCTTATGTTTTATTTTTGGACGTATATTATCCATAGAAAATATGAATTAGGAATGTGTGTAACTGACAACTGTGCAATGATATTATTATTAAAATTATCATATTTGGTGGCTAAGCCCTCAATAAAATTATTGTGTAATTCTAGCAGTCCCGATAAAATATTTCTGACCAAATACTGAGATGTAGGTACCTACATTAATTTGTTTCAATTTTTTTGATGATGGTTAAACATTAACAAAACTTTTGTAATAATAATACACATATTAGCTTCCCAAATCTCAATTACAGTTATACCTTTTTATTTATTTTATATTTATTCATGTTATATGTATATTTATTATTTTGTATTCAGGACTAAGTACGAAATTGATGGTATCACAGATTTTTTTGGAACACAACCTCCTGGAGTTGGCTATGCAGTAGAGTATTTTTTGAAAAAATATACCGAAAAAAAGTTGTTGGAACATATTAAAATAATCGATCAGGAATGTTTGAAAAATAATGATATATATTAATGTAAGATCTTATATTATCATTTTGATTTTTTTTACAAATATTTATACAGTATAGATCTGTTTTAAATGCATATGGGAGGAATAGAAAATATACCTACTTAACTGTCTATTATCTGCAATAAAAAAAAATATCTCATCATTGTTAAAATGTATGAAAGTTACTCATAATTATTTATTAATTATACACACAAAATGAAATAAGAAATACAAAACAGTCTGTTTTATTTATATTTATTACATTATTATAGCGATTTTCGATAATTTGATAAATTAGAATGAAACCGCTCAATTTGGATGATGTTGAAGCACCTTTTATATTATATTGATTAACAATTAAACATAAGCATTGATTACTTCAAATTGATAGGAGTTCAAATAGTTCAATGATACATATCAATCAAATGATGTATATTAGCTTATAGTATATTATATTTATATTTTTATTACTTAAAAGTATTCATGAGCTAATTTATCATAGGTGAATCTAACATTGAATGGTTCATCACTATAGTTACAAAAAAATTGCAAGAAAGTTAGTCGTTGATACTAAGGTATTCAATAGTTCTATAACTAATAATACTAACTTTTATATTTATGTAAAAAAAATAACTTTTAATTCATATATTTTTCTTCTTATTCAGTTGTGCCTCTAATTCCAAGTTCTATAATATATTCATATTTACTTACCTATTATTGAATTATTAATTATTCACATTTATGTTGTACTGGTGAACCACACATTACCTTATAGTTTATTACTTAATGATAGTTAAAAAGAAGTACTAGAATACATTCATAAATTAATTCTCAATGGTAAGGTTATGGTAAAGTTACAACACACCAAAGGCTTTAATAAACATTTTTTTGGGGCAGTACATGGACAGAAACTTTCTTATACATAATAAAACATTAAGTCATTACCTACTTTTAATACTTCTTGTACTTGTTATAAATAATTATATTGACATGAATATTTTTAATTATTTTTATCAATTAAAACCAATTAAATTATTAAAAAGTTCAAGAGTTTTGAACTAATAGAAATTTAAAGAAAATCAGTTCTGTTATAATTTATATTAGTGAAATAAAGTAATAATTTGAATGCAATTAATAGTGATAGTTAGGGCTCAGTTATTTATGTACCCACTTAATATTTATAATATCAAAGCATGAACATGTGCTAAAAAACTCAATAAACTATGTGTCTGTGGATACAGTGCACTTAATCACTCATTATCCTGTCAATAATTTTCAAATCTGTTGGCAGGACATTCAAGATTCAATTACACTCAAAGATCAAACATAACTATGACTTTTTTGACTCGTGTATTTTGCTCATGAGCGATAAACCCTCAATTTCGGGGTTAGAGTAGTAATTAATACACCAAAATACTTTAAAAAAACGATTGATCCGAATATGGTTTCAAAATAGGTGTTGTCAATTGTCATTCAATATAAGGAAGTTGTGTTGGGTACATGCAAAATACACAAGTTAAAAAAATTGTAAGTCATATAAATTTATGATCTATTAGTCTAGTAGAATGTCCTGCTAACGGAAACAAAAAAATTATTAACAGGGTAATGAGTGATTAAGTGTACCCTTTTTCCGAAGACACGCTATATGTGATATACTAATATAATTTATAGCCTAATAGGTATTTACATCAAACAATTATTTATAAAACATATTAATGTATTAAACAATATTTATTTAACATAGGGACAATTATTTCAGGTAATATGAAATGCTTATAATAAAACAATATGAATGTAGTATGATTATTTTATTAATCTAAAGTTACAACTTAAACCTAAGTTTTTTTTTATTTTCTCTTAAGATTTTAGTTTTTTACAAGCATTTATAAAATTTTCAAATATTTTTGGAGTCACTCTTGCTGTAATATTAACATTATGTTGAAATGGATCTTGAGTGTACATTTTAAATTGACAAGTACCCAAAAATAACAACTTCTGGCATTCCTTATTTTCTTCATAAAATTGTTTATACCTCCATAGTTCACCTGGAAGTTGTTCCACATTTTCAAAATCTTTTTTGAGTAATGGACAACCAATATATGGACTTATCACAAATTTATCAAAATCAAAATTTGAATAATATTTATAGAAAACATTTAATATGTCACTCTCACTTAGACTTTCTTGTTTTTTAATAATATATTCTTGTGGATTTTTGGAAAATGCACAATTCCATTGATTAACTAAAACTTCTGGAACAGATTTTTGTAAATCACGAATGGCTGGCAATATTCCCATAACTTGCATAATAAATATTCCTAGCCAATAGAAAGAGTAACTAGAAAAACCGTTAGTATTTATAAGCCCAATATTTTTAGCCCATATTTTTAACTTCATTAAGACTGGTTTAATACGATTGTCCATACTTAAAATGTGATTGAGAAGATGAGAGTTGTGAACTGAACTGACATTATTGAATGATATATCACAATCAATACCAGTATTTTTATGAGTACATTTTATGATAGGTATTTTAGCATGGATTAATGCAAACACCTTGATAAATACCTGACTTTGACGAATTTTATTAGCAAATGATTTTATCACTGTTTTGACTGGGATTTTTGAAACTGAAAAAATATTTAAAATAAAGTCAACATACAATTTTAAAATAGATAGTAAAAAAGGAAGTAAGGCTTACAAAAGTTTAAATTTAAAAACAATTTTTTTGCATACTATAATATTAAATAGGCTAAAATAAAATAAACAATATTAGTTATGAATAAGAATATCACAGTTATCTATCATTATAGCTTAATTCGATTTTTTAACTGTTCAAATATAAAGATAAAAATGAGATATTTTATAAAATATATTAGTGTGTAAATTAATATATTATAACAAATAATAATACCAACCATAGTTTATATTAAAGTCAACATCGCTATTAGAAATGTTAAGACCTGAAATCCTTGAGCCATAAGGTAGGATATCTGTTATAGTGGTATGTAAAATATTAGAATTAACAAAAATTCTTTGCAACTCAAATTTAAATAATGCAACAATATCAACATCTGGTACATTATAAATTTCTTTTGATTTAAATTTTTCTGAAACACATTAAAATATATATTAAACTATACAAAACACAAAATAACATCTTCAAGTAAAACTAATTTTAATATTACTAGGTTTGGAATATTCATCAGGTTGTAGAGGCCTTTTTTTAGTATTGATAAATTTATTTTCTGAACTAAAACAAAAAGTAAAATATATTAAAATATGTATATACCTACTTACAATTGTAAAAGTATAGATCTTTGTCTTGTAAAAGTATAGATCTTTGTCTTGTAAATTGTATAAAATAAAACTTAGTTATAGAACTGGAAAAGTGCACATGTTTCATAACAATATTAGCAGTTATGAAACTGTTAAAAATACAATTCAAATCACATTATCAAGTGTAATTACCTGTGTTGGGATGAAGCGCAGTGCTTATTCATTTTTTCTAGTTTTCATAAAACCAAAGAAGTATGGGTTATCTAAAAATAAAATATACCAGTTAATATTTATTATTTTGTATAAATTAGTTAAATTTTGTTAACTTACAATTAAAGAAATATTTTATGTTGATTGCAAGCTACAGATGATGTAGTCTGCAGTCATTTTAACATACAAAATATTTGTGTACTATAGAGTATATAATATAGACTCTATGGCCTGCACTCTGAGGGTCTGGGACAGGTTTGGGCCTTGAGATCATAGAGTAATATTACTGTATCATGCTTAAAATACTATTAAAATTTAAAAGGGCCACGATGGGCACGATGTTGATAATATTGTTTACATCATGATAAGACGAGAGTCTCAGGAGCAAAATTTCACGACCAATCAGAAGTGTTCACAATTCTTATCAGTTTTTGTGAAAAACACATTTCTTATCAACCCGTGTTGATTTTGTAACTTCACGCCAATACACCATGGTCTGCTGATTGTTCCTATTATAGTCCAATAGTCCTATACTCCTATGTGCAATTTCAATCCAGCAATTTTGCTCCCGGGAAACTCGTCTTGATTTTGATATTACGTTATTAAAGTTTTTATAATTTTTAATACCTACCAAATAATGACCCGTACTGGCCATATTTGTGCTATGTGCTGCAATAGCAGCAACAATTATAAAAACGTTTCTTTTCATAAGTTAGTGTTCCAGTCGTACCAGTATGCCCAAGGTGGATATATCCACTTTGAGTTTGCCTATATTATACTATAACTAAATAATATATGTAGTTAACATAAAAATTAGAAAGTTTATACTTCACACATGTGTTATACAGAATGTATGAGAGCATAAATTGTAAAATATGTTATCTCTACAGTTTTCCAAAATATATAGCAAATAAAGCTGTGTGGCTTAAAGTGCTTAATTTAACTTCGGTAGGTAGGTATCCAATTGGTGTAAAGCTGTAGCAAACATTTTTAGTGCTAATGATTTTAAACTTAGCAACGTTCGTAAAATGTTCAACTGCAGTACCAACCGAGTTAGTATCCTTAAAAAATTAAATGATTATAAAAATTGACAAATAATTTATTTTTTACTTTTTAGTTATTATATATTTATAGAACATGGTTAAGTCGGTCAAGATGATGAATCAGTTTAAGTATCGACAAGACAAATAGTCCAACATTATTATATAATTTGTATTATTATTATTTATTTTCGAATGAAATTCCCCAATTAAATATTTTAAGAATAATGCTTGGTAAAAACCATGTAGTAAAATGATAGATGATATACGATAGGTATAACAGCGGTACCTATAAAATATTATGGAGTAGGTAGGTACCTCAATTTATTATTCGTCATCACTCATCACCAAAATATAAATTATTTATAATAGACTGAAATCGTAGTACTATAACAAAAACCATGAATTTTCAACAAATTTTTAGTGACGTTATGATGTATACAATGATTCATCGACAATAATTTATTTTGCATAACGCAAATATTATTCATTAAACAAGGACTTATAATAGTGGACACAGAATGGTTTTAGACAGAGCCCAACTTAGGAATTTTGGGGTCCTTAACTTAAGTTATAAATTCAGTTTTTTTGCTGTAGGTATTGATTTTTCCAGTGCCAATTTTATAACTTATTATCAACAGGGGCCCGGGGCTGCAGCCCCCCTAGCCCCCCTCTAAGTTGAGCTCTGGTTTTAGAAAGGTCGGTGGCAATATCATTTAAGGGTAGTTAGAAAAAAATCCCCTGTACCGTTATACTGGAGATTGACCAAATGTAAATAATTTATTTTACAAAGTATACATTATAAATTAAATAAATATTTTATACTATATTAAAAATTTTCATTTTATAAAAAATTGTCTTATTTTCTAAAAATACAATATTACTAATATTGCCAATTAATATGTATATAATAAATGTATGCTTATAATAATAATTATAAATACCTAATAATTGTATATAAATTAAAATTAATAATATATGTGATGGTACTATGGTAGTATAATTTTACAAATGTGATTACTTATATTACTTAGTCAGCCACGATACCTATTGTTGTTATATAATAGTAATAATACAAAATAAATATTGTATGTTATATAAGCGATTTGCATTTTATAAAAATTACCATGTAGAAATTAAAATGTAATGTGATTATAATATTACCTACTACCTAGTACCTAGTCATTACAGCGCTTTTTGATATTATAAGCGATCGCTTTTAGGAAGTCTTCAACATTTATTTTGTAATTTTGGATTCTTGTATACATATGTATAGTTTGTAACCATCGTGGCATACATTTATGTATATGTCGTAGGCCGTATGGGAAATTAGTTTTTTTGCAAAAAGACTAGGCTCTTTGCAATGGGGTAGCCCGCTTGCGAATTACTTATTATTTTTCCAAACAGCTTGCTGTTTTTTAGGCTCATTGCATACAGACTAACAGCAGTTAGGCATTTTAAGGACTAAAATCATAATAACCATTTCATTATATTATTTTAAGGGTTATTAATAATAACACAGTACATTATAATATTATATGTATATAACTATTATATATTACTAACTAAGAAAAAAATATGTAAAATATTTAATTTAATTAAATTAAACTGCAATATTACAAAAAATATGAATGGCGGACAGTTTCCCCCCGACTGTTATTGTTGTAGTAGGACATTTTCCCCCCAATATATATTCGATGCGGACATTTCCCCCCCCCCATTATTATTTATTATTTAATAAGAAATTATTTTTTTTTCAGTAAAATATAATTTTTTTTATAAATATAATCAATTATACTATAATTACCTATTATAGATATATATTTTTAGATTATTAGATTATATTTATTTAAAAAATAATAGTACTAGCATACTGTATTATTCGCTAGTAACATTGAAATCTAAAATTGTATCTAAAACCCAATCGATTGCTGGGCTGTCAAAAACTATCTTATTATTTGATTTATTAGACTATTAAGATAAGATTCTATTAAGATACATTACAATATTAAATATTATATAAAGTATTTACTTATCGTTATATGTAGTGTCTCGTGATGACGTGATATCTTGAGCTACACGGTACATTGTTTTTGCGACAAGCTCATCTATTTGTTTTGCACGATGTTTTGCGAAAACGTTTTTGATAATCCCGTCCTCCAAATTGAGAATGTCTCTTCGCTATTTCTCTTAATGTTAATATTGTACTTGGTACTTCGTCAAGAAATTCTGCATCGGTTGTCTGTCGAACATTTCTTAATTTCTTCTTCCACGTATTTATAATTATTAGGTATACATCGTCAATCTGTATCTAAATCCTTAAAATATCCGGTTATAATGTACCTACTATTAGGCTACTAATGTAGGTAAAAACCAAAAATTTGAAATGTATACAATTGATATGATTTTATAAATTGGTACGCTATTGATACAGTTTATGAGTAAGAACTAGGAAGTTATGTTAAGCTGGCTACACACGGAGCGGTTTAGCCGCGCTCGGTAACGGTTCCTATCCGCATCAGCGTCCGCGACCGCTTCCAAACTTAACTTACACACGAGGCGGATTTCGACCGCAATCACGTCCGCGTCCGTATCCGCTGTTTGCTTACACACGAGGCGGATTATGAACGCTGTTATGAATGAAAAAACCGCCATAAATCCGCGGCCGTTGGCGGACGAACCGCTTCGTGTGAATATGGCTATTGGAAATCCACAGTTTAATTTTAGCTGGCGGACGCGGTCGACCGCCCGAAAATTGAGCAAGCGTGATTCGAGGCGGTCGACCGCTGTCGTCCGCTAGCCAGTTTACTTCGTTTGAATATACCCATTTAAATATAGGTGTTTAATTTTTAAAGAAAATCCGCGGCGGATAAAAACCGCGACCGCGCGCGGTTAAACCGCTCCGTGTGTATGTGTAACCAGCTTTATAGTCAATATTAAAAAAGTAGATCGTGGACCATTAGATATTCAAAATATAATATTGGCAAAGTTGTAGGCAAAAAAAAATACATATTTTTACATATTTTTTTTTTTAGTTAGTAATATATAATAGTTTATAGTTATATACATATAATGTACTATGTTATTATTAATAACCCTTAAAATAATACAATTTTAATAGTTATTATGATTGTAGTCCTTAAAAGGCCTGATGCTGTTAGTCTGTATCACGAATTAAGATATACAGGATGCCGAACGACAGCCTGTTATCAGTATTTCTGTGAAGTCGAAAGTTTCCAGCACGGACTACTACACTGGACTGGAAACGTCAAGGGAGGCGGGTGACGGGGGCCGGGCCGCTTAGTGTCCGCGAGAGAGGTGTAGAAAGGGGAAATAGTACGCGAGCGTATCTAGCGCAGCCTGGCTTACCACAGGCTTACTAACGTACCTACTAATGTATTATTTAAAAAAACCGACTATTTTTTTTTATAATTAATCAGTATGAGTATATTATTATTAATTTTTTTAATATTATAAAGTTATAGTTTCATACAAGTCATTGAATACATTTAATATATTTTTTTTCAGTGATATTTACAATAATTGACACAAATAATTACTGTTATGTATCAACAAGTTTTGCACTTTTCTTTTTTTTTGCATTATTTTTATTTTGGTCTTTGTTTGAAATCTTTGTGTACTGATGCATTCTTGTGGTTATGTAGTATGTTATTATAAAAGTAAGTATCTCAGTTTTATGAGTAACACATGGAAATTTTTTGATCAGTGAATGCTTGTTTCTAAACAAAATGATTTTAATATTGCACATATTAGTAGTTAGTACTATTAGAGAATATAGTATTTTTTATAATTAGTCATATTTACTTTGATATCTACTAAACAAATATGTTTGCATGATGTATTGTTCGATGTTGAATCAACAGAATCAATATTTCTTTTAATAATTTTGGGGGCCTTAAAATATAAATTCTTAAGATTACATAAATATAAAATTAATCTATTTATTATTTTTTTTATTTATTTATGTATAATAAATGGGTATTAAACCCTTTAGCTTATTTTAACTTATTTAAATTACTTCTACTGTAAAGAGTTCTCTTCTAAAGGATTGAGTTGGTGCTTGGTATTCAATACCATGAGAGAGTACTTGTTTAGAGTCTATTTGATTGTATAACGAGGGAATAGCCCCCTTCTTCAATTTAAACACTTTTTTCTGCCCAAATTCCTTTAAAATAAATTAACTTTAATAATAATACCAAATTTCTTTATAATATATACCTATTGATATTAACTCTTACTTCAATTACGTCTGATGGTAATGCATATGTAGTACAAATATCTTCAGGTAAAAA